TATAAAGGATATAAATCATAAACTGAAGAAAGTCTCTTTGTCAGGTCTATTAAATGCCTTAAATAATATTGGGTAGGATAAATGATAGCCTTTATTACCCCGAAGCTGTTTGAGCTACCTAGTTTCATAACGCATGCGTAGAAAAGCTGCGCTGTATGACACAGGATAGGTGTACACGTGCCTGAGTGAGGAAGATAGCAGTTGACATGAGATTCCTGTTTTTTTAACGTTGCCAGAATGTAACTTTATAGCATTGCTATGTTAGAGAGATAAAGATGAAATTAATGTGCTATAGGTTTTAACGTTTGCTATGTTACCTCTTAATGCCATGCAGGTGTTTGAAGGAAAAAGACAAGTTAATGCATCATACATGTACGGCTACCTTCTGACAATGGACTTAAATGGACATGGTTTACCACAGATTAACTACATCATTACATATTTCCCCCGTGTTACCGTATTACAGCTGATGTATGCGTTGTAACGGTCGTAACAATTGCTCTTAATGGAAACAAATGAGACAAGCGTCAATCCCGGTCCACTGCGTTAACCTGCATTACTGTATACATAGTCACAATCACTTCTGTTTGAAAGATTTTTGAATAATATGTTGTTGAACGCTCGGTGGAACGCCGTACTAAATATTTGGCACACAATTCTCAGCGGCATAATGCTACCACATCAGTTGATATAAAAAGACAGTTGATACAACCTAAACCCCATTGTCGTATTTACATACTGTGCACAAGTTCAGCTGATAGGCGCCATACTGGTGGAGATCTTACATGTACCTCTAATAAACGGAGCTTGGAGCATGAAAATGAAACGAGATTTTAAGATGAAATTTTGCGTAAATGTCCACACGCACGCAGTATCGTGTGCTATGGTGATAAACCTATTTCTTTCTGAAGCTTAGTGAAAGGTCTTTCAGGAGTTCTGGTTTACTACCGAAGGCTGTGAGTGGCGCACTAGTGTGTGTGTATGTATGTGTGTGTGTGAGTGAATGTGCGCTTATGTTACAGCGGACTCCGTAGTTGTTTATGAACGCAGCAGGAGAGCTGGCCGCTGGCAACCGTCTCCCGTCGGAGGGACTCTATGGGCAAGGGGGGGGGGGGAGGGGGGCTCACACGTTTTTTACTTACAGTAAAAGCACATAATTCATGCCTTGTAGAACGTATTTAAGGAAGAGTAGTACCATCTTGTCCGCCAGCTTGACACAGTTTTGAAACCCGCGGTTAAGTGAAGGTTCAGTGCTTTTTTCTCTCGTCAGATTGTTAAAGAGTTGCCTAGTGTCAGAAAGAGGACCAAAAATATCCTTTACCCCAGAACTTTTACTTAAGATTACTTTTTCGCTCGGAAATTTTACACAGGGACCCTTTTAGTTAAGTAGCTGATACGATATGTGAACTACGACTTAAATTTCACGCTTAGCTTTGAGAAACACAACACTAGTTTCAGTAAATGTCACGAGTGGCTACCCCACACAGGTTCTGTTGTTTGTTTTAAGGCAATGTTATGGCATGTTCTTGTTTACGGCTTCATCTCACTGGAATGTGAACCTCTGCCATCTACACCCAGAGAGCATATGGTGCCATGAACGTCAGCAAGCTGCGTTCCTTGTTCAAAAGAAATTCGTTTCAGGTTTTATTTACTAGATTATCTAATCCATTCTGGGGTGTATTGCTCACGTTTGGGATCTAGTAAGATCTGAGTATTTATCAATACATCTGAATATAATTCAGTCAGCTGCTATTAAGATAAACAGATCAATTTGGCATTTCGTCATGATCTATCTGAGACCGCACACAAAACCACACATGGCGTGTCTTTATTATTGGAACAGTGACACTTGAATCGACACACGTATGGTGTACAACTATACAGTCTTATTTCCTTTTCCTACTGATATTTATTTCCCATTACTAAGTTGTGCAATGATCCGTAGCTCTCTCTCTCTCTCTCTCTCTCTCTCTCTCTGTATGTGTGTGTTTGGTTTAAAGCGTATATATTTCGAAATGTTTAATTACTTTGCAAGGTACATTAAAATGCCATACAAAGTACGCACTGCAATCTACATCTGTTCCATTTTCCCCAAAACATATTCAAATGCACCGTTTAGAATCTGAACCTCGTAACAACATTAACGGCGATTAAGATTACACTCTAGCGCCGTATAGTCCTGGCTATTTAGAATGAAACACATTTTGATACTCCCTTTGGGCATAATAACAGATAACATTGTGTTAGGCATGTAATATCAGGTACACAGAACGTCAAGTCCAACTAAGTATAGCTTAACCGTTTTAGTGCTACATGTGCTTAAAATCGTTCTCGACTCCTGAATAACTGTTAGATTTATATTGCCTGGTAAACTTGGTCTGTTCTTCTTGAACCAACTGCCAATAGTCCTACACTTCATGTTAGAGCAATTAACTGAGAACTTCTCGACCTCAAGGTACAGCATCATGAATCTATGCATTATTGGCATTGGAACCTCGTGTAAGAAAAACTGCTGGAGGTCGCCAAATGGCGCCTGTTCAGACAAGGAGGTGTCTGCTGTCCGTAAACATCAGTGTCTCCTGAGGTCTGTAGACATGGTCCAGTGAACCACCTTATGCTCTAACTGCCATTGTTTGACAGTAGGTATGAGATATCGGTGCGTAAAATATGCCCGGTAGAGATTGCCTTGAAAAAAGAATCACATTATCTTCACAACTGGTGCATGAATACCCCCCGACGTCATTGAAAAGAAAAAAGCTACATGAAGCCAGCTGCAGAGTCTTTGTTGCAACTGGAGTCGTGACCAGAACATTAAGAGAACATGGAAATGTTCAGGATTGCCTGTCTTGGTCTGCCTGCAACGAACTTTGTTTCATGCACAGACACAATCATCATATTTACATTTTCACCAGGTGCAATTGGAACACAATATTTCAACACATGTTTTATCTTTCTATATTTATTTGTTCATAAGTGTGGGACAGGATGAAGAAAAGCCTGTTATCTAGGGATGGACATGGGAGCTTTTGGGTGGTTTCTAAGTTAACCAAAGTAACCCGCTTCAAAACAAAATTCAGTTTAAAATTCTTTACAAGTATCAGCCCACTTAAATGAGAATACATTCATATGGCACATTTCATATGAAAAGTGGTTATCGTAATTGACATCAAATACAGTATAAATGGTCAGAGTTATGACCGCCTTTCAATTATTTATCTTGTGAAAGCACATGACACCCGTTGGTCAACAGCCACGATGAACACTCGACCCAGCAGATAAAACTTCCCCTTATTTCAAAAACAGCTTTCACATCAAATCGATCTGATTGCATTCACAAAGTGTATTACAGAAATCCAGCATGTCGTAGGTGCCTATTGACGTAGTCCGTGATATACTAAGGCATACACCTAACTAAAACATCTTACTCAGTTTCTCATAATCCGGAGTATGTAGTATAAACCACAGACCTGCTGGTCTAGTGTACTTTCTCCTCTTTTTAAGTCATAGCCAACTAACGTAAGTTACGTGTGTTATTTGGTGGGGAGATGAAGCCATCTAAATGTCACCCAGTCTTTGCACCACGGGGGTAAGCTATGAATACTGCTATCTCGGCACTATAAATAATGTTTACACTTCCAAAGGTAGTACCATTTAAATGCCATACTGCTTTGAACATTAAATTATTTCACCAGCTGTGTTCTTCGTCGGTGATTTTCTTTTAACACACTGGATTTATTATTCATTTTATAATTAGGCATGTCTCCGGGTAAATATCCCCCTGTACAAGGTCACCCACGGTGTTCTAGTAAATCTCGTTCAGTGATTAAGATACGGCGCAGACATGAGACTGTTAGACAAAATATCAGAGGGGAAACTTATAATTAAAAAAAGAAATAACTATATAATTTCTTCAAGTATTCTAAATTCATATTCTGTGTGAAACGAGCTGATCTACCATGTATACGTATGCTGCGCACTTCTAAATGTATAGATACATGGAACGTGAGAGGTGATCTTGTCTGGTGCTAAGCGATCCCAGAAAGGCCAGCTCGTTCGGCGCGGCGAAAAAAAGGGGAGAAAATTTTGTATGATATGGCTTGTGGTTCTAATCCATATATATAGTCATAATTAGTCATCTTTCTGGGTTGTTTAGCATTGTGACAAGGATTGGCATTGTTTGTTTTTATTGTTAATAAAAGTTTCAATATGTTTAAAAACTAAAAATTTGTTAACGTAAATTTGTTTAAAACGTAAATATATAAGCAGAATACAAATAGCGTATGGGTAGCGTATTTGAACCGTATAACTTGTGTAAGAATGTGTATGAGTACGACCACAAGCGACATTGTAAATGAAGCGTATATCAACGTATGAGTATGTATATATGTTGGTGTACAAGTACCGCAAATGAGCGTATATGCATGAGTACCGCACGTACGCATATGAGTAACATATAGTTTCGCATGAATAGCGTAGCGGTTGTTCTGTTTTGTTGTTCTGTTTTGTTGACTACCAACTGGATCAGATCCAACAGGTGTTAGAAACAGCTACTTCCATCCTCTCTATCTGGAGCAGCTGTGTGGAAATGGAGCTGTTAATTTATACCACAGATGACAAAACGCAGGGGATACTTTTTCCATTCCTCAGATAAACGCTAAATGCGTTTAGCCTCAGCTTATAGACGCATAGGAAACGCCAGACATACGTTTACATCGTTAGAGATACGTTTAAATTACGTTACCTATACGCTAGGCATACGTTAGCGTTACCGACTTAAACCAGTTTTTGCCCGTGTACTCGAAACCTATATGACGTTATTCTCACAAAACAAGTAAAACGAAATAGAGCGTACCGTTTTACCGATAAAAATAAGGGTGAAATCAGCTTGGGTTACGATAATCCTTCTTCTTTATGAGGGGGAGGGGTTATTTTACGCTTAACGGCTTGATCTAAAGTCTCACGCAGACTTACTTAATCATAGTAAATGTCACGTCCCTCTGATGTGGAAGAGGATCTCCCTGGGTTCCATGTTAACACCCCAGATAAGCACTTCATTAACATCAGCAGTGTCCTCCTCTATCACTGCAGTCATCAGTCATCATAGGGACACCTGGGCACGGGACGAGAAAAGTAAGTTTTCCTGTACACGCGGTATTTGTCTGAGATTCCCTCATGTCTTCACCATTCAAAATAAATGCCTTTTCAACGTGCTTTGATTCTTGGGTTTCTCTTTTAGAGATTTCTCTTACATGTATATAGCTGGGCGTCATATAAAACCACCCTTAAGATGTTTCAAGGGACAAGCCGAGTAAAGAAATGAAGAAAAAATTAAATTTTAAAGTTTTCAAAATAGTTTATAAAAGTGCTGAAGTTGTCGATGAAAGGTTTGTTCTTTTATTATAAATTGAATATGAATATATAAGAGAAGTTTTACTTATAAGTATGGAATATTCATTACCGGCAAGAATTTCTTTATGAAGCATGTGATATACTTGTTTTGGTATGTGTCACAATAGGTTTGACTAGTAAAGCAAACTGTGTGTGAGTTTGTGTGCGTCCGTCAGGTGTTGCTCGTGTGTGCACGTGTGTGAGTGTGGGTAAATACGCGTGTGCTCGCACGCCTGTGTACGATGTGGTATGTATGATGATGGTGATATACAGACATTCTGACAGCTTTGTAATAAAGCAAATCAGCAGGTTTGGTGACTTTTGAAATTTGGAGGAGCTACAGTTCTGCTCACTGATAACAATGGCAGGGATGGAGGGAGGGAGCGAACGGACGAGGAATAAACATATAAAGACACAAACAGTACTATGTTTATGAGAAAACATGAGCTCGATCTTTTTGGACTTATGCTTTGTCTGAGTTAAAATCCAATAAATTATCTGCTGTTATCATAAATGTGAATGACGTGATCAATACTAACTGGATTAGGCTGCAGAGCATTAACGAGGTTTTCCCAATGTTTTTTACCTCGGGGGGCTTTGGGGCAGCAGATTCGCATTCCAATCTTTATAAAAAATACGTTCTTTTTACTCACCGTCTTAAGGAGATGATCATACAAAATGATTGTCGTTTTTAGTCTTTTGTCTGTATTTAAAGCCGACAAAAAGTTAAACGAAGCGATAAAAGAGTTTTAAAAGGCCATCTGTCATGTCAACAATTTCTATATGATCCTGATAGCCACGTTTTAACTAGTTTTATTTCACTGACATTTAGATCATAAGATTTCCGTTCGTTATTGCTTCATTCCTGGTGCGAGTTATCAATTCACCTTGAGTTACAGTATGAGGAGGCTTGGCACACACACGTGGTCAACTAATAGTACGTGTGTATGCTACAGCACCTGAAAAATCTAGGTGTACATACTGATCACCCCGCCCACATATACGAACGATATATATCAACACACACACACACACACACGCACACACACACACACACACAGAGAGAGAGAGAGAGAGAGAGAGAGAGAGACATCCAATTTTCGAGTAAGATATATATAACAAGCATTTTCAAAAGGAAAACGCACAAATCGAGTTAGCCTGAATAAGGAAAATAATTGGATTACTGACCGGGCAGCTTGTCCACATGGGAAAGTAGCCTATGGGAAATTGATGAATTGATATATTTAGGAAAGATAAAGGTTATAATTAGATGTCTTATTAGCAGATAGTTTATGGCGGTTTTCTCAGTTAATATGTGGAGTTACTAGGAAGACGTACATTGACAGGACGAGAATTAATCCCGATCTCCGGCACGAAGACGCTTGCGGATGACGTTAAAGCGCTACAAATTGATTGATGTGAATGGCCATTGTATGGCAGTCTACAGAATGTGAAACTATTTTGTTTGCCCATTGTGAGAGCGTCTAAATCATCGATGTGGACAACAAATAAAGACACAAACAGTTCTATGTTCAGAAAAAGTTAGGATACAGAGCAGGAAAGTCATCATGTAATGCGGTATTAAGTGTTCAATGGCGGAGATAAGGTGCGCGACCCTCCACTGCTCTTCAGTGACGGATTCAATCATAGACTATGTCCAAACAGGGAGACATGGTGCTTAATGAGGCTCAGAGAAGCAAGCTTGGCCCTTTGCCAAAGTTGAGAAATAAAGCGATGTCGCTGAATACAGATTTGATGCGCCACATCAGATCTTAATAAAACGCCCTTTTCTGACGTCATTTTTTAAATTTTTGTTATTTCAAGGATCGACAAGTCAGAAGTGCCAAAACAACAAGCAACTAAGAAAGTGCAATTTAGCACACTCGTATTACGTTATATACTACTAATCAAGCACAATTATCTCTGTATTATATATATTCCTTTACTCATCTTTTAAAGGTGGTTTTTAGTAAATAAATAAATAATATATATATATATATATATATATATNAAAAATTAAAAATACACTGACTGTGTATCATGATTTCAGTGAAATGATTTTTACTCCGGAGACACCTAATTATAACGTATCCTATAAAATCCAGATTGTAAGCGCAAGTGTGATTAACGATTTCTATAGTACAAGCGACAAGTTAAATGCCAGTCAGTTATGTTGCTGCAACCAGAGTTGCATTATTCAAGGCCGCGGCCAAACTTTTAATAATCAAACAGCATGGCTTTTGACCAAGTCTTATTCATTATAATTCATTGCAATTTTATGGAAATAATGATCATGCTTTAAATATAGACTTTGATATCGCTTCCAAGCAATCTATATTAATTTAAAATGATTTTTGAGACGACTGTGAATTGGACTGGATTTGATAGATCAAATACAACTTTTAGGGATAAATCAGCAAAGAGAAATGAAATGATGAATAACAAAATATGATAAGCCCTCGGGGGAAGCTTCCTCAGGAGAGATGTTCTTATGATGGGGATGATCACGCCTTTCGACAGTATATACATGTAGCGCACCTAAGATAATAAAATGAAATTTTGAAAGGAATTAACAATATAAATCTTTCAGTTCCATTGAAATCTCATGTTCTTAAATGTCAGTCACAATCCAATAACGACCGTCACATAATACCAAGGCAGGACCCCTGCGGAAAAACGTTGTTCAGTCGCGAAGAAAGACGAACGAGATTACGCCTGTTGAAAGGCCGTGTAAAAGAGAAAGGGGTACTCCTGCGCGGAAAAACGTCATTCAGTCGCGCGTTGTAAAGGCCAGCTTGCACTGTTCCGACGTCATTCCGCGGGGGTTGAAAAATCGGAAAGATTTGTTTTTGTGCTGTGGTTGTTTGCTATCCTTTCAATATGATTCAGTACTCAATTTATACAGATATGTCAGGTTAGGGTTTCTACTATTGTTACATGGTAAAAGTCCGTACTTAATATTGTGCGGTGTTTCAACCTACCGCTCCCAGGACGATATCAAAGTGTAATGTTCTTGTTTATTCTTACCAGAGACCGTCAAATGTGATCAATGTTGAGTTTTGCATCCTCAAAATTAGACTGCACTTGGGGACTAAAGCAGAACTGTCCCAGTCCCCAGGGTACCGCCTGTTGTTCTCCAAGCTATGCAGTCGTCTTATTACACATATCGTAACAAAGGAGTATCAAAGTGCAGCCTGCACAGCTACAAGAATTACCAACAGATTCTTAATTGATAAATCAAATCAAGAGACCACAATGAGCATGCACTTTAACTAAATGATGCCATTCATTACTGGTGAGTGGGAACGGCCTCTCTCACCCTCGGTTATTGGGATCATTCAGTACCAGTGAATGTGTCTGTCGCCATCAAAACCAATCGCTGGTCTGATTATTGGCTTCTTAAACACACATCCTTGGAATAGGTGGCCTTTACGATGAATGTAAAAATCGATCAGGGCCCTCTTAAGATGCCTCCATCTCATCTTGACCACAAATGGATATTCTACTGTCTCTCTATCATATACACATTTCTTAGGATTTCTGTGTAAGTGTTGTACAAAATGATGTCATTCACGCCTATAATGACATGTAAAGCAAGTACACGTAGGTTATGAAGTGCAAAGTACATCGGACGCGATGATAGTGTCGCCACCACAGCCTTATTCCACCTTCACTGGGAGGGGCTGGTTGGCATTACAATACGTTATAGGGTATTTTGCCGTAGTTCTGTAGACCGTAGTTCAGACTTCTCTTCCTTCGCTTTGAGACGTAATCTGGGCCCCTTAACCCGCCCTTTAACCTGCTAATGCTCTCTAACTAGAATTACCCATGACCAGAGTATCCCAATTTACACAATTTCCAGAAAAAAACTGACAAAGAGGTTGGAAAACCCCTCCATTGTCGAGGTCCAGTGTCAACCATGGTAATATATCTAGTCTACCGTCAATTTTCACAATGCGAGTGTACACACGACTTCAAAGTTAAGTACAATGTACAACAACAATAACATAAAGTGTAGGTGATAAGCCCAATTAGGTGTGACGGTATACTGTAAGGGTTTGTAAGTATCAAAGTTTTAAAGCATGGACTGAAGGTTATTAATTAAGTCACGGTTAAAGAGAAGGTGTTTTCACGTTGAACATGTCTGTTTCCAGGCCAGTTTTTATACTATTTCGTGTTTTTCGAAAGCAAAACAAATGAAGGTCCAATCAGGACACCACTTAGTGATACCTGAAGCAACCTAGTAGCCTCTTGGTCCGCCTATGTATGGCCTGCGGTTTACTGGATAAAATAATCGGCACATACACACACACACACACACACACACACACACACATATATATATATATATATATATATATATATATATATAACACATATTATGGTTTTTCTTTGAAAAAATCAATATTATTTCACATGTGCTTTCTTCACTCTAGGGTCCATATCCAACATTGGTTCGGGTGGCTCGCTATATAAATGCAAGGATAACCCGGATGCTACTGCGGACTACACCACCATCATAGGAGTGGTAGGAGCCGCCGAGAGCAGCATCTCCCTTCAAGTGGCCAATCTGTTGAAGCTGTTTTATATACCACAGGCACGTGTCACCTTCGTCTTTTATTAAAACATATCACACATTTCTAATTGCTGCTCCAGTCAAATACCTGTAAGCGTACCAAAAGAGGCCTGTATCTTGAATGATCGACGTCATACAATGCACTATAGATTCACACATTCGGTTACAAGTACTACATTTTATTTTGAAATTAGATCCACGGGATGAGACAGGTTTACTATAGAGCAGCACATTACTGCCTCAGCTAGCACAACCTTTCCAGGTTCTCCACCTCATTTAAATCTAATTAGATAATTCATGTGTGTGTGTGTGTGGGGGGGGGGGTCTTGAAAGTACATGTTTATCGTACGTTTAAAACAGTGGTAGGGGACTTTGGGCCATACTAATTCGTGGTAATCGGTACAATGCATAACCCACGGTAACAGCCAGCAATTATAATTGGTCGAAGATTCTGTAAATGAAAAGCCAAAGACAGATATAACGCCACTCTAGGGTAACATAATGCAGAGCAGGATGAAAACTGAAAAAGGAAATATGGAAATATTCTTAATGCAGCCAAAGTATTAAAGAGGTTCCACGTGGACAATTGGAAATAAAGACCATGTGTTTGTGTAATAAAGACCCAGTGTTGGTGTAACAAAGCAGAATCTAAAAGCAATTCTGAGAAATAGAAGATGAAATCCATTTCCTAGTGTCGTGCCCTCTTTATACAGTTCTCCGATATGATCTTTATTCAGTGTACAAAAAACCAATATAGTAACTTTGAGCATCTTACCAGAATGGATAAATTTATAACACTAATGACTGGTAAGAAGAATGAACAGATGATTGCTCTTGCCAAATATTTATGGTTAGTCTTCCAAAAAAGGGACTGTGCTGCACCCATTACCAGCAAGTGTACTGGCAGTTGAGTAGGTACAGCCACGTGGGCTCTGCCAAATATGTTTTGTATTTTTCTTACAAGTAGTCAAACTATATCACTATTTAATATAATTCATACTTATTTATAATTTCATTCCTATTGCACATTTTCATCTACCCATGCAGATGCATACGATACAATGAATAAAGCAAGATATGTTTACCATCGTTTGCCTATGTCATACCGGTATTTGGAAAAGTACCGTGAAAGAGTCGTTTAGTCGTTTGCCGGTGTAGTGAAACTGTGGGTACGTGTAACAGAAAGTCTGCCTTCCATTCAGTTATAATGGTTAGGGTTAGCCTGACTTAAGTGGGCCAAAATGTAGGGCGAGGCTAACCTGTACAAATGAATGGGAGGCGGACTCTCTATTATGGGGGACTCTCTGTCACGTTACACCGGCGTCAAATCCCAAAGCACCTGAATATCACAGAGTTAGTACCGTTCAATGTCCTCTAACTTGTTCTCCAGATCAGCTACTTCTCTACAAGCCCGGACCTCAGCAACAAGGAGAGATACCCTTACTTCCTGCGCACAATTCCTTCCGATGCCTCACAGGCGGAAGTCATGATAGAAATTATTAAGAAGCTAAGTTGGAAATACATCAGCATCATATACGACGCTACAAACTATGGACTGAAGGTAAGATATATTTGCAAGAGCCGGGTGTTACCCTGATCACAGGCGTCTCTGTAGTCTAGTCAGTTACAAAATTAAAAAAAAGCTTTTTCTGCAATTTTGTGAGGGTAGTCACGTGTGATCGGGAGGTTTCCCAATGGCGCTTCCAGGTTGGCTTACAAAGCCAATATGACATTGTTTGCACGGAAATTAATTAAAACTGTATATGAATGTTGGACAAGTTTCCATTTCTTTTAATGAATTCATTACAAATAATTTAACAAGTAAACCTCCCCTCTCAGCACAAAGGGAATGTTTCTAATTGCAATCAACAACAAGGCAACCGTTTGCAAACTAGTACAACTAATTGATATTGCACTGGAAACCATTGTTTTGAGATCAGTGCAGTATCGAGAACAAATTATAGTCATCATAAAAACCATCAGCTTTCATACCTTATTATGCAAAGGGCTCTCTTCAAAAGCACGTTTAAAAAGGATAACTTTGTGAGTGATCCAAATTTCAAATTTCAAGTGCCACGTTTCTAAACAAATAAGAAGGACAGAGTCCCAGTTTAAAACATGAGAAGAAAATCCACACCTAAGTCATACGCTGATCTCCTGTTACTTGGGTTCCAGGGCTTTGTCCGCATAGGAGAACTGATCAACAAAGAGGACAGTCTTTGTACGGCGGTCACGTACCAGCTCTCCCAGACTGACCCAGCCACACATGACGCCGCCATCAAAGCGCTGGCCAAGCAGAAGAATGCTAAAGGTAAAGTAAACCATGGTAATAGTTGGTCTTAATGATTGCCATTGATGATTGAATGTGTGAAATGCACGATTAACAGAGGTTGAAACAGCAGGTGATATGGTACATACGTGTATATTATAGTGCTGGTAAGGGAAGATGATCGTTCCAAGCGCCACATGTGCAGCAACCAAGAACACATATTCATAAGAAGACGGTATCAGAACCTAGAGATGGATATTATATCATTCTGTATACTGGTGTTTATCTTCACCTTCCAGGTGTCATAGTGTTCGCCAAATACCCTGACGTCATCAAGCTGATGCGTGCTGTGGAGGAGAACAACGTGACGAGCCACTTCATGTGGATAGGCAGTGACGGCTGGCAGGAGGCACAACTCGCCAATATCGGAGGGTTTCGAGAGGAGGTCTGTAGATGCCCACCATGTCAGCTATAATTGTGCCTCACATGTTGGTCCCCCCTGGGTCTGGGTTGAGTTTGACCATGTGTTCCACAGAGGTCCCAATGGCTTGGTTCTTACTGGTGGTCTGTACTTAGGACCTGTGTGGAATACCGGCCACCGCTCAGGTGTTACACACATGCCCCCCCCCCCACCCCACCCCACCCCAGATGGTCATGCTGGCATTGCTGAAACATGACGTGCCAACGAAATACAACCTTATCGTCATTCTCCCTGTATTTTCCTTGTTCATCTCATGCCATTAAAGCAAATGAAGATTGAGTGTATACTCTGTCCAGGATAGTTACTTTAAAATTTGACGTTGCACATCCTGTACACAATGCCTCGCAGTACATACATCTTGTACAAAGGTATATTTTTTTCTACCTTGTGTAGGCTGACATAGTCATTATTGACGCGTAACATTCTCTGAAAACCGTGCATTCATTTGGAGATCTAGCCTATTACACAGGATGCGTTTAGTCTTAGACATTGTAAAATGTTCCATACAAATTATTTATGTAACACACGATTTAACACATACAACGTAAATATATTAAAACGCAGGTACCCTCTTAATTAGCTGAACACAGCTTTATACTTTATTTTCCTGTATGAAGACTTATATTTTTGATAAAAATATCTTATATAACAGTATACCAGTACTAAAACTCAACTACTACATTTCGACAAACGACCATCTTATATTTTCAGCTAGAAGGCGCCATAACCGTGCATCCTCTCGCACACACAGTGACAGGGTTCAGCTATTACTTCAGGAATCTAAAACCAGATCACCAGAACACAAACCCTTGGTTCAACGAATTCTGGGAACAGCATTTTAAATGCAAATTGCCATCTACCCAACTGTCGTATTTTAATAAAGACTATAAAAATTGCACAGGACAAGAGAAGATCAGCAAGGACTTCATATTTGAGCCTCGTCTTCAGTTTGTCAGCGACGCGGTGATGGCGTTTGCACATGCACTTAAGGTGAGAACCAACAGTAAGCTATTCAGCACAGGAAATTCATCTTATCGGAAATGAAGAAATGAATAAGGATGAACAAACATCTTGTTACGGAAATTATGTATGAATAATGTTGTATAACAAAAGAACATATAAATGTATATACAATGACACAAGTTAAATAACACGTACAGGTCGGTAGTTTTCTCAAGTATGATACAGGTACGACTGAGAATTATCCACAATGAATGGTGTAAAATACGTGCACTGATTTCACATACTTTTTTTTCAGAACATGCACACTGAAGTCTGCGGCGGACGGCGGGGGATATGCGCTGAAATGAATCCCATCTCAGGCGAAACTCTTCTTTACTATTTGAAAAATGTGCAGTTTACAAGTTAGTATTTATTCTTTGTATAGCGTGTGTGTTTAATATAATTACGTGATAGATCACTATATTTACGGGATAAGTGCTGGAGGCAGACCCAGAAGTGTCGAGTGCACAAATTCGTAAATTATTTTAAAATCTACCGAAAGTGACGTTTTTCTCGTCTACTATAAATTCTACATATAAACCAAAGACCATGCATTTCCATACTTTCCATCTCATACTGACCAATCATACCAGTTATATACCCTGACCACACGAGAGCCTGCCCCTCCAGCAGACAGTAAGGTCTTCCTTGGTTGTGCACTCTACTACACCTTCCTACCACTGCTTCTCCTCCATCCGGTGCTCTAGGTCTGTAGAAGAACGTGAGCTCTCTCTTATAATTAAACAGTATATTTGATAATTTTAATATGTTTTCCTTTTTCTTGTCCCACTCACGCAATATTGAGATATTATATGCTAATATTCATTTTCCATTTTCTCAAAGGTCTCGCTGGTGCAGAGGAATTCCACTTTGAAAGTAATGGCGACGGCGCCAATAGATATATTCTAAAGGCGTACAGACAGCGCTCTCCTGGAAACTTTTCCTGGGAAAACGTTGGTGAATACGACAAGGGAATACTCACGGTGGGTAGACTGATATACTTACATTACCCGATACCTTTATTCTAGATGCACATTCCTTATTTTATTGACACTTTGGACTTCAATGATCTTATAAAAATTTGGCTTTTATTTTATCCCTTACCATCTAGGGCTATGATAAGAAGCAACGCGCCTGGAAGCAATAAGTAAGAACAATGCAGAACATTTATTTCAAACGAGAACAAATTGCAAAAAAAAAAACCATTATCTTATGACCAGTGGAAGTAAATGACACAGTACAGTACCGGTATAGCATTACATGTGATGACACACTTCATTATCTTTGAATTTCCAGATGGAACCGGACAAACTGATATTCAAAATGAATTCCACAGACATCCCCAAGTCCGAGTGCAGCAAGCCGTGCAGTGAGTTCGAGGCCACGCGGTACATAGCCCTGGACAAGTGCTGCTGGACCTGCCAACCCTGTACGGAACACCAGTATCTGCCCACGCCACACAAGTGCCAGGACTGCCCCAACGGAACCGAGCCAAATGCGTTCCGCAACGCGTGCACACCTCTTCCTGAAGTACACCTCAGTTTCAAGAACGGAGTAGCCATTGGTGCAGTCACGTGCTCCGTGTGGGGGATCCTGTTTACTTTGTTTGTGATCTACGTGTTCGTGAGGCACCGGGATACACCTATCGTTAAGGCGTCAAGTCGAGAACTGAGCTTTGTTCTCTTGGCCGGGATTTTGCTTTGTTATCTTATGACTTTTATTATCATCGCCAAACCATCAGGCGTCATCTGCGGATTGCAAAAATTTGGTATTGGCCTTTGTTTTTCATTGTGTTACTCAGCACTTTTGACCAAAACCAACCGTATAGCAAGAATCTTCGCTGCTGGCAAGCGGACCACAAAAAGACCGATGTTCATCAGCCCAAGATCGCAGCTTATCATATGTGGAGCCATAGTCTTCATACAAATAATGATCGACGCCTTATGGTTAGCAGTTCGCCCACCAGAGGCACGATACATATATCCAACCAAATCAGTGAACATGTTAGTGTGTTTGGCGCACGTTGGAGACGAGTATATCATCGCCTTTATCTACCCTATCATACTGCTCATTATATGCACAGTGTACGCAATTTTGACTCGTAAAATTCCTGAAGCGTTTAATGAATCCCGATACATTGGACTAACTGTGTACACCACTTGTATCATATGGTTGGCCTTTGTTCCAATATTCTTCACCACGGCCACAGATATTCCACTGCGTATGTGCATTATGGCATTTGTCCTCGATCTTAGCGCCACAGTGTCACTGATGTGCCTGTTTTTCCCACGCTTATACATCATTTTATTAAAACCGGAAAGAAACGTTAAGCAGGCTATCAAGAAGAAAATCAACACGCTTGAAGTGAAAGAGATGGGTTTTCACAAAGAAAAAAATTCGTGGTCGCGGGATTCCGGAAACCATTCTGAAGGTAAGGGCTTGATTGGAGGATCGTCAGTCGATCGTTTCCTGCAGGAGGCCAATTGCGTTGAAAGTGAGGCCCAATGCCGGGAGGGCGTGGCTCAACTAACACAATCAACTGGGCTTCTTATCCTTGGGATATCCGATACATGCCAAACATTGGCTGGCCCAGGTAAAATGAACATCTTCAGTATCGTACATAATAATCGGTGTCATGATCAGAGGATACACTATCACCGTGGCCCTGTGGAGCCTGAGCTGTCAAGCTCCTGTGTTATATGGGCCAAGGGACGGTAGCGCTGGAGATGCGGTGCCGTTTTATACACATTACATTATACCCCCTTTACACTGGACGGCGTCCTTTCTGCGACCATGAAATTTGGCATCGCTGTGGTCTTAATAAGGAGGCACAAGCATCGATTTTGTATCAGAATGAATGCTCAATGATCGGCCAGTTGTCGGCCGTAAAGTATTATATTTTTTTAACTCTCAAATGGGGATGTACTGCTGGACGCAGAAAGGACGCCGCCCAGTGTAAAGGGGGCTTTATCAATAGTCCCTCCTCATATAAATACGCAATGATTAGCCTACGCTATAAGGATAAAAGACACTTTATTTATTTATTTATTGTTTGTTTGTTTGTTAATATATTTATTCACTGGGTGAATAGGGCTATTGATCCATAGCAAGCGGACGGAGAGGTAAAGACGCCGGTTACTATGCACGATACTGTCCTGTGGGGCTACATCGCGTTCCCTGGCTTGGTAGTTATCCCTGTTGCGAAGAAAACGTCCTCGCTTTTTGGCTGTGTTTTTATGTCTTTATTAGTCCATGTGTTTTACTCTACGTTTTATGCTAAATACTGCTCTTTTGATTATTCCATTGCCTTTGCTGTATTAGTAGAATGTCTTCCACTGAATGCATCAAATGTTTGTATAAGTCCTATCTGTATTTCCCGATCAGGTGTGTGTGTGTGTGTGTGTGTAACGAAGGCCTGTGTGAAAAGGAATGGTAGTCCTAGAAATGGAAGTCTGTGGTCCCCTTTGATAAGTACAGGTTAGGGTTAGTGGGAGTATTGGAGATAGTAATTAAGACAAATGTAGCCTGTACATAGCGGACTACCATTCCTGTCACACAGGTCATTAATGCTGCACTTGAAGCAGAGTTTTAAAACATTGTCATCTTGCTTTTTATTGTAGATCTGGACGTTCGCGTGCGTCTAACAAAAAGAAAGGATTCTTTGAATAGCGACATAGAGAATCCGACTGTGGGCACTCAAACCCCAGCCAACTTTGGAGCAGACATTACAACTCAGACCGAAGGTGTGTGTGTCGTGATGGCAAATAATGAATATGCAAAGAAAAGCTACGTGGATGCAGCAGTTGCGACCGATGTGAACACAATCGCAATGGAGGAGAATTCTGACGAATACGATTCCGATAACTCTGACTTTGCCAGCATACAGTCTGATATACAGGATATATCACTCTAAGTCACAGTTGTGTTCTTGTCTCTAGAAATAGACCTCTCCATATCTCAACCTGCAAACAGTCATTAACGTCTGTTAAGTAAAAAATATTATATTCTTTCCAATTTATTATTCTGCATAGCGAACATTTCAGGGATATGTCAATATTAATTGTACATCTTGTTTGAGTTAGATTAAATTTTGTAACTTTTATGGTAGGAGTAAGTGTTTAATGTACCGTAATATGTGTTGAAATAGATTAAAATTTTGTTTTATTGTATAGTATTCATTGTTTTTATTTAATACCACGTTGTACTATGGATCGAGGCAATGCTTGTGATTTTCATAATAACTGTAATCGTTTTGTCCATCTGATATTAATAAAATTTAAAATAAATACATAAATATTCAAATGAATTAACAAACAAATAAATGAATGAATAAATAAATGATTAATTAACAATATCAGTATGGATGTAATGAATATACAGTATATAATATAAGTGATTTATGTACGTGGATCAGCCTTTGGTGAAGACGCATTCTTGAATTGCTTTTATGCATCCATGCTCAAGACAAATCACTTATTTAATTCTTTCGGAAACATAATATGAGTTCAATGAAAATGCAAAAATAGAATAAAAATGATATTCTCCTTTTTGTAAATTACACTTCAGCTACCCTTAGGAACGATCCTTTTATCTATTTTCTTTTTGCATGCATGAAAATATGCTGTACAAGTAACCGCTTGCTTCGACATTTACGCCCTCTGGAATATTTGGAAGTAAAATGTCAAATACGAAAACAAACTACACTTTTCATGGGCCCTGGGAGAGGAGGTTGTCTTTATGACAAGAAGTGAATGTGTCCAGCTACGACTGCGCAGATATCAAATAAAGATGCAACATGTAATCACATACCGACTTTAAGGGCAGCGTGAAACTTACAAGGACAGACTCTTTTACTCACAATCTGAGCTTCGAAAATTCGGAACTGAACCAATAAAAGACAACGAATGCATTGAGCTGACTCCTACTGCACGCATAGTCTAAGATACCATGCGTCACGAGGAGTCGAGCGCGGATCACGAGCACCTTGCAGTATATAAACCGTCTTTCTCGTCATGCCTTCATTCACTTGGAAACGCTAACAGGGAAAGTACGATGCAACATGAGGGGGTTTTGTATTTGGTAAACCCCCTTTACACTGGACAGTGATCTTTCTGCGTCCTTTGTGCCACCAAGAAACTGGCCAGGTCGCCGTTGGACGCTCAAAACACGCACATGAATCGTTAAGATCACACAAAGAATGTTTAAGCATCGCCGAGGACGTCATGGTCGCCGCAAAGGTTTGAGCATGTTCAAACAAACGCACAAAGAACGCAGTGGAGGTTGGTCACTGCACGGTCGCTCAAGGGACGCAGAGAGGAGGCACAAGCATCGCCGTGGTCGCAGAAAAGACGCACACGCATCGCTGTGGTCGTAGAAAGGAGGCACAAGCATCTCTTTGACTGCAGAATCACTGGCCAGTGTCGGCACGTTTAACATTACTTTTATAACTCTCAAACGAGGTCGTGCTAAGGTATTTTTTTTTTACCAGAGACAGGAAGTCTAGCGGTTTCATACCAGCCTCCGACTGGTATTTTTTTCTAAAATTCCTAACCGATCCGTTTTTGGAAGTTATTATAGAACGGATAATTGTTTTTTTTTTTCAAGATGCAGTTATTGTCGATGATTTTGCGGAATGCGTCTTTTGAAAAGGGATCAAAACATTCAATGTTGTGGCAGGCAGCCTTTTTCGTCTTCGGCGCCTGTTCATCCTCCTTATAAGGACAACAGTGATCATCTGGCTTAGTATCAGTCCATGCAGACTTTGCATTACTGTAGTTTGAAAAATAAGTTCATTTCTTACTATTTGTTTAGTTTTCTGGGCATGTTCTTATAGGGTGACAATGTTAGAACTGATGAAAAAATGTAAAAGAGTCAGAATATGTAGAAGGACGCCCAAACAACGCCCATCGGTCTAGCAGGAGGCCGAAAGATGTAGAATGGTCGCCACTGATCATTTGATGAAGATGAAGGTTCAGCAAACGCAATAAGGATGCTCCATGGTCGCTCAAACATGGCACTGGACTCCGCAGGTTGCTCAGGGGACGCAAAGGGGAGGCAGGTATGTCCCTCAGTGGACGAACAGATCGCTCGCAGCTTTACAGGTAAAATTTAGATTTAGTCTTCAAAATAAGCACAAGGGACGCAGAGGAATTTACACTAAAACATAATATAATTGCTTGGGCGACTGTTGAGCGTCTTCACCATATTTTTGATCGTAGAAGGGACGGAGAAAAGGACGCCGTCCAGTGTAAATGGGCCATAAGTAAAATTCCTGGTAATGGCCAGTAGTTAGGTAAGGCGAGGACTCGTGTATAACGTATTTTACCTGTGCCTTATGGTCGAAAATCAACAGTTCGAAATTCTTTATTTTTTATTTTCTGCATTTTGAAATGATAGACCAATAAATATAAGGTCGGTTTTTCGCCAAGTCTCTAATTCCATGATAGAGACCATGCTTGCTAATAAATGTGTTTCATTGGTGGTGTCACGGTATCTGACAGCGTTATATGGCAGTTTCTAGCAGATAAAGTAACAAGCATAGGAGCAAAGGGCATTCAGAATGGTCCGATTCAACGCCGCCTGCTCCGGTCTCCTGCTTCATGTCTTCCCCCATGTACTCAGTTCACACAAACAAAAGTTAGACCACCAGGAATATGGAAGCTCCCCTGTAAGTAGCTGTCTACAGGTACCAAATGGGCAGGCTGCTTTGTTTTTTTCTTCAGTAAAACATTTTTGTTCTATACATATTACTGAGCATTTTATACGGTAGTTGAATTCTGAAAAGTATAAAAACACTTTGCTGAAGGCGCTGTGTTTTATTGCCGAACAGCCGTTGCCTTTTACTGTTTTTGTCCTTGGGCCAATTAACAAAACTTACCGTCGGCAAAATATGCATTTATGAATGTGTTCTGTGCAGTATATATTGATACATTGGGCTCAATACAACGTGTGGAAAATATAGCTCTATGAAGGTATGACACTCACTCTATCTTTCTCTCTCTCTCAGATAAGGTTTTACTTATAGAAATAAGAGGTTGGAGTATTACGGTTACGAATAGAATCTTGAATGTAACACTCACACTATTAAGACAATCGTGTCAATAGTTTACGTTTTATGCAAGGTAAAACATTGTGTAGGTAGCGCTATAGTTCTTGATCACCAGAACACTATATTATATATATATATAGCCATGGAGAGCGGGAGGGTAGCAGTGATGGCCAGGAGTAGCACATGTTTACTGATGTTGTTGATATCTGTCTGGATAACTTCACAGTGGATCCTTCTCTCCAAGTTACCGACCAGCTCGTCAACAAGTGAGTACAGGTATTTATTGGTCGAGATTTGGTATGCACATCGATTGATTAATTAAATGGAAAAACGAGTAAAAGTAAATTTTTATGTCTAGATTATCAAAACATCCAATTAAATATATTTTGAATAATGCTAAATTAGACTAAAACAAATGTTCTAAGCATTTCTGCTCATATTGCTTTTAGCATACACTAGACACAAAATACACTAGACATAAAATACACGAGACAAAATAATCCTACTCGTCAATTAGTATACCAGACATGAAATTCTACTGTTCTCCTTCTCATTAAATACACTAGTCATGAAAATATTAATCCTCCTCCTCCATCCTCCTCCGCTTTATATATCCTAAAAAGGAAACGCTTCTCTTCTTCCTCCCGTCAAGTGTACCAGACAAAGTCTCCTCCTCCAGGAAGTAGGGCCACCTTACCCCCTCCTAATACTAGTGGCCTCGGCTGTCATCATGGTTTTATGCAACCATGGCATCATGCAGGAAGTAAGGAAAGTTTTTAAAACCCTGTTCATACTTTACTTTACAGCAAGCGGCGGTGGATACTGGGATATGAAGTCAAAGGACCATGGGGATGTGTTAGTCCACCGCGCAACTGTAGCCAAGGAGATCTGCAGGGCTCATAACATCAGCAGGCTTCCCATGGCTGATCTGGTCCAAGTTCTACAGCGGCCGTCCAGTTATAAGGGGATGGATGGACGGTACATATCATGGCTGATTAATGACGATAGGGCGCGCTTTCTTTACTGCGTAGTCCCCAAGACAGGTTCCACCAACCTACGGAGAATCTTGGCGGAACTAAAGCAGAGACCACAGAACGTAACACGAGCATTCAACTGGACTCGGATGGCGGCAAAGGAATCCTGGTTCTATAGGTTTGACTTTCTCTCGTCAAGATCAGCAGACCAAATTTCAGAAATCCTCAATAGGCCAAATTATACCAAGATCCTGACTGTACGGCATCCTATAGAACGGATCATATCTTTATACCGGATGCTTTTTGAAGGAGATCATTTCGAGAACAAAACGGTTAACTTTCTTCAAAGTGTCACCGATGGTATGGTGCAAATGATAAGGGGAAGGTTAAAAATGCCAAACTTGACATCCGAAAATGTCACATTTACACACCTCGTTCGGTACATCATTGACCACGACCAGTGCATCAAGCAGGCGAGATGTAGAACAAACTGGTACGAGGCGCAATGGTCTCCCGTCTGGAGGATGTGCCGCGTCTGCTCCGTGGATTACGACATGGTTATTCGACTAGAGACTTACGACATGGACCTGCCTTACCTGCTGCACAGGGCCAACTTCTCCAGCACTCTCCATTATCCAGATTATTACAAACGAACCAGTAAGGATCTCACAGACAGGTATTTAAGACAACTAACCAAGGAACAGATAGACGGCTTGTATGAAGTGTATAAAATGGACTACAAGTTGTTCGGATACAGTCATACCAGACCAGATGTATTCAAGGATAAGTGACAGGAGTAGACTCTGTACGTGCAACTATAATTATCTGCCTTATACAAAGAGCCATATACCGGTATATTCAGTTACTGGGTTCTGTTTCCCCCAAAGGCCAAAGTCATATTTGAGGCCACAATAGTCCACTCTGAGACTTAGCCGACTAAGGTGCGTTTCACTCAAAAGGAACGCTTACCTCGTCGGGCAGTTTGATTGATCATTTGACTATATTGCTTCTACTACTGCTTCTACTACTGCTATATTACTTAATTGAATTATTTATTCAGAGCTGAAAAATCCATAAAATTATGTTCTGTAGACTTAACAAATACAAGAAAAATAAAATAAGAAAATGTCCAATTACAATGTTTTGTATTAAAAGTATATACAGAAAATTTCCAATGATCATGTTCAGTAAAGTATAAAATGGTCGACCATAAAACTTTTAAATAGGTT